CATTATAAAGCATGGAAACAATTGTAAACTGCAGATGGAAATTGGTTTTCCTAACTGTAACAGCTGTTTTAGATAGCTGATATGCCAAAATGGCAATTTTTGTATGGCTGAGTGAAGAGGTCTGGGGGACACTTATTTTACAACATTGCATTGATATTTGAAAAGAGTCAGTTCTGCCAACTGTTTGGTTGTAACAGCCTGCAGTGTCACTTGTATATTCATACATACATATATGCTTTATTTTCCTTGGAAAGCCATGAGTTCAGAAATAATAGACAAAATTTTCTTTGTTGTTGGGAAAAACAGAATTATTAGAAGTTCCTTGAATAGTGGATTTTTTTTCTACATATGGCATTTTTGTTCAAGTATACATCATAAGCTTCAGAGAGGCCATTGTTTTATTCTAGTTTTTTAAAAAAGATACTTTAACAAGCAGTATTCTATTTCTGTTCTCAAAAATGGAGGATAGAAAGTAGATGGATAACTACAATGGAGAAATTGCCAGCATAAAAATAAATTACATTTAAAGCTTTGCCTTAAGCAGTGTTGCTGAGGAACAAGTCTCCCTTGAGCTCCATGGATTTCTTTTCTGGAAACATACTTACAATTGTATTTTTTCAATGTGGGTTTATTCAAAAATATGTCCCATTGTGTTTGGACAGGCTTACTTGAGTGCTGAGACCACAACCTTAGTATATTAATAGACAATATAGCAGCAATATATCTGTTCTGAACAGTGTTGAATGCAACATGGAACTTCTCTGGTTAATATTTCAGTGGGGAAGAACTATGGTCTATGGCTACCATGACTGCCCTGCTTTCTCCCACATGAATGTACTGCGGGCATAGAATTTGCTTCTTGAGACAGCACATATACAATTGCACCATAGTATTTCACTTAAGGCCAGAACAGCTTTACCTTTTTATTACGAGTACAGAATGACAGAGTTGGAAGGGACCTTGGAGGTCTTCTAGTCCAACCCCGTATATCAGGAAGCCGTATACCATTTCAGACAAATGGTTGTCCAATATCTTCTTACAAACTTCCAATGTTGGAGCATTCATAGTTTCTGGAGGTAAGTTGTTTTACTGATTAATTGTTCCAACTGTCAGGAAATCTCTCCTTAGTTTTATGTTGCTTCTCTCCTTGATTAGTTTCCATCCACTGCTTCTTGTCCTGCCTTCAGGTACTTTGAAGAACAGGTTGGCTTCCTTTTCTTTGTGGTGAATCTACTTACCTTCGCTACCGGTTCACAAATGTGAGCACATACGCAACTTTCCACGCATGCGCAGAGCATCAAAAACGGACNGACAGAAACCCAATATTTTTACTGTTGCCTTTGTTATATTTGTGTTTTTTTTATTTGTGCTGATAAATAAATAAAGGGAGACTAGTCTCCCTTTATTTATTTATCAGCACAAATAAAAAAAACCACACACACATACACACACACACACACACACTCAATATACCTAATCCTAATACAATTTTGTATGCACAACTTCCTAAATAAATAAAAACTGGTTTTGTATAGAGTCTCCAAATGTGTTATGTTGTATATATAATTTACTGAAATAGTGGTGTTTCAAGCCTCAAAAGAAGAAGATAAGTGCTGTGGACTTTCTTGCTATCAGTCCCAGTATGAGTGACTTTGCGTGATCAGAATCCGATCAGGTTAATTGTGTAAAACCTGTTCTTTTTTTTAATCTTCCTATGAATATAATTGAATTCTCAATAATTCCAACATGGTGCAAAACATTCGAGAGCACAACATTATTTTTTTTTCTCCTTCTAGATTAAAAGAGATATTCTACAGGCTTGGGTTGACAATGTTAGTTTGTGGGATAACAGCCAAAATACAAGAGGACCTCATAATAAACAGCTTTATAAGGAAAAAAATCTTAAAATTTTCACTACTCACAATCAGCCACTATCATTGTGGTGAGAATCAATGCAATTATTTTTTCCCCTGGATTTCTAAATTCTGCAAGGCTTCCTTTTAGTATGCTTCATGCAGGTAGAATTCTAGGCTTTGGACTACTACAAAGAACTCTTAATCTTCTGGACCAAGTTATATTGGTAATCAATTTGCCAGTGCATTGTAGTGTGAATCTACACCACAAAATCCATCATTACATTTACTTGAGTGATAGCTTAGCATGGCCTTTAAATAAATACTGAAAGCCCAGCAATGTCTGCAATGAAAACATAAGTTCAAAAACTGCACTTAGCACACTATAGTAGAAATGCACCCCACTGATCACTTAATGGAAATACTCACAGTAAATACAATCCCCGAAGTTAAAATGGTTTTAGTCCAATACTTTAAACCCCTTTAAAGGAAGTCCTACCACCTCCGATTTGTATGGATGGCTTGTTTTTCAGGTTATTCCCTGCAGGTAACAATATGAATATTTCTTTTCCCTCAGAACTGAGAAAAGGAAAATAGATAGCTGTAATGGAACTGTGGAAGCAGTCAAGCAGTAGATTGATTCAACTGGAGAAATTCAATGCAGCCCAACAGATTCCCTAGGATTTGGTATCCTGCTGCTTCAGGTGCAACTTCTTGTAATGAGAAACAGAAGACTTTTTGCAGGAGTTTGTAGTGAAGCCTTGAAGGTTAAAAAAAACACACACACCTTCAAATAACAAGACCTCAAACTGAAAATGTTTCTCCTCAGAAAATGCTTTTGCACATGGAAAGACTACAACACCCAGCTCAAGGTAGAAGAGAGGTTGAGAGCCTTTGCAAGCCAGCAACCTTCGATGAAGAAGATACAATTGTATGTGTCTCTACTGTGGGGTAACAGGACCAAGGGCAACAACTTGGCTATAATAAGTGTGACGCACAAGAAAAAAATATGGTGAAATGATTTGATAACCTTATAATTGCTTTCTGCTACAACCTTTGTACCTATATGGTATTTCTGACCAATTTCTGAATGTTATGGAAGCATAGCTGAAAAGGTATAGCAAGTAATTAAAACAGAAAGGTCATTTTTGATGAGGGAGATTAGAGAAAATTGTGGAGAAAAAGCCTATTGATAACTCTTGGCAGGATGTCTAGAGACAAGGCTTTTCCAATTGGGAGCATTCATCTGCTGCTTTGGATCCTCCAGTGGATCCTAATTATTGTCCACAGAAACAGAATGTTAACCTTGAGAGGCTTCTGTCTAGCAGAACTATCACACATTATTTTCACCAATTTTGTAGAAAAGCATGGTTTACATAAAACAATAGTGAAAACAATGAAACTATGAGTCATACTTTTTATGGATGTTTAAATAATAAAGTATTTTTCAATAAAATGATTCTGAAGGCCAAAATTTTGAAATTTGGAAATTACTAACATTTTGTTTAATTGCATAATGCAATTTTGTTGACAAATCAGACTATGTTTCATTTTTAATTAAGTAACTAAGGGGCAATTTTGTCATTGACCCATTGTTTGCTTTAATTAGTATCTTTAACAGGACGATCTTCTTCTGTCTAGACCACGTGTGTCAAACTCGTTGCATCATGTTGCCATCATGTGATGTTTCACGACGTTTCTCCCATTCTCAGAGCTGGGGTCGGCGTGGCCTGCGTCACACATCTGGCCTGGGGGCTGCCAGTTTGACACCTCTGGTCTAGACTCTAGAGGATTAAGATTTTTATATCATTGTCCTTCATAAGTAATAAGTACCCAAAATTAAATTTAAAAGGATCCAAATAATACAGCACATTCATACATTTAAAGCAATTTTCTAGAACTTGAATATTCAATAATATCTGTAATAAAAAAATAAAAGCATGTGACTGAGATCATTGGAAACAGAATAGCAATTAAAATTCACTTTGTGAAATGCTCCTTTATCGCAACCAAGTTCCACTGAATGGTATGAAGTGCCTGTTTTCATTGTGTAAATAGATAAGAAGAGATATAATGCCACTAGTATTTGAAGATACTATTACTGAGGCTGCCCATCATTATTTTCTTTTTTAAAAAACTGTATTTCTGTGACCCAAAGAAACATGGAGAAAAAGAATACAAAGTTAGAGATCTTCTTTGATCACCCTGCTCTTTCGCCCTTGCAGCTATAGCATCTATAACTATTGTCTGTTTCAAAGGAAGAAGCTCTCTTTTGTTCAAACTCTGAGAATCAAAATTAATTAGTGACAGGTTAAAAACATGGAGCACCAAAAGGAAAAAAAGGAGTCACCGAAGATATGATACTATTCTCTTAACAGGTACTTGGGAGGTTTTGAAAAGTAAAATGAGGGACCTAATGCAAAACATTCCAGAACTTTCCAAGGAAATGTATGTCATAAAAAGAATAACCAGCCTTCCCATTTCAGGTATGGTGGATTTTAGCCTCAGGAAAAGTTGAAATGGCATTTTTTGTCCACAAAAGATATTGTCCAGTTGGAAGGTTGGATGTGCCAATGAGAAAGAGACATCATCCCTTGTTGATCAGCTAATCTTACATCAAAGAATGATGAGTAAATGTAAACTACTCATTGTTTCCTCTCTTTATCAAAGTGGTAGTTCTTCATATCCTATCTGTATGTAAAGAGCCAGAGAAAATAGCAATTCCTTAAGACTGGTGTACATTTGCATATAAATCGATACAAGTACCTGAAGAGCTGAATGGAAGAGGGGGGAAAAAACCTTACAGAGCAAAAAACCTACGATACTGTGATGATCAAGGAACTTGGGGGGCCTGGAGGGTGGTGGTGGAAAGAAATTGGTTTTCTTACTCTGTATAACATAATTGTCAATAAATATAAAACAGTTTCTTTTGCCCTATGCCTGTAAAATAATTTATTCTCTGTTTTCAGAATGAAAAAGGTATCTGTACAAATTTCTTTATTATATCTGCAAAGTGGTTTCTTGCAGCTTCTATGGGAAAAACTATCACCTTCTTGTATCAACCCAACACAGAAAATATACACTGTGCCTCACCATCTTGGGTGAAAACAGACCATTGCAATAAATCACAGTAACGCTAGCTCTTACCGGTAGGGCTCCAAAGTTCGGTTACCATAATGCAGAGCTTCTTCCCAAAGGCCCAGGTTTATGCAGGCATCCATGGCAAGGTCAAGTAATTTTAGCTGATATATGTTGGTGTCTGGGAGACGAGAGGTGTTCCTCTTCAGTAACGTCTGACAGGACAACAGAACTTGCTCCCATTCTGACATTTATTTGTGTTAAGGATTAACCCATGACAGAAGCATCAATCAAAAGGCAAAACATTAAGTTTAAACACTTCAGTTTTCTATTCTACAAAACCCTCTTCCATAGAAAGGGTTCCATTTTTTTTTAACCAACAAAACATGAAAGCAAACTACAATGAATATGAATGGTGATCATATGAAACCACAACTAACTTTGCTATAGTTAATTTTCTTTTAAGCATTATTTTCTTAAAATTAACAACATATTTCTTGTAACCTTTTTCTAGTTTAAAACTCATCTTGTAAATGAAAAGAAATATTTTTTCAATGTAACAATTTTGGCAAAAGGAATTCTTCCCTGATGAAAATTATATGCTCGGGGATGGAAGGGAAATGGAGACCACAATACATGGGGGAAGGAAAAAGGGACTCTATACGGTGCTCAGCATTATTAATCGTATCTGACAATCTTCTTTGGGATGTAGCAGAAAAGACAAAAGATCTTCATTTTAATATGAATTCTTTATGAGTTTTTGCTATGATTAAATCAGCATTCATAAGATACTTAGTTGACATTGATATTCCCAATTTAACATAGTTGATACCAGTCAAGAAACTATCTGAATTTATCAATAAACATGTGACTCTTGATCGCACAATACATTGCGAATAGAGTATTTCCAAAAACATGTAATCATCACATCAAGATGGACCTGTTCCATAACTTGGATTAAAGCTAATTTGGGAAATCCAGTTCTTTAGTACCTTACATATGGCCAGCTGACTGCTGACATCTGAATTTCAGGGGTGAGAATGATAGCTATTCCATAGGAAAGGAGTGGCAAAAGAGACNCCTGGGACCAAAGATCCCCATCTTGACCTCTGATACCAATTCCAAATTTTAAATATGTCATTGTATAACCACTTACAAGTGTACTTTCAAGCAAATATACCTAGGGAATTATCACAATTACAAAATGAGAAAGAAAGAGCAATTTTCAGTAACAAGCTGTAACAGAGCAAAGATCTGAATAAGGAGGAATCTAATCCTGTCATGTACAGCAAATTTGGTATTTAAACCTGTTGACAGACCTTGGGGGAAAAAGGGAAGGATTATATCTTTTGTATTAATAAAATCTCCCAAAGACGCATGATTTTTGCAATCCTGAATCATAAAGCAACTTAACTTTTTGTTAACGTCATCAGTGTATACAGACATCTGAACCTGTACCCCAATGCCCTACTGAACCCAACAAGATGTATGTCTAACTAAATATTATAGGAGTGCACTGTCAAAGTTAATGGGAAAGAGATATCTTTTACACATTACATTTTGTAATGTTATAGTAAAACAATAATACTGTATATGAAGCAGCTGTCTTCTATGCAGCAGCTTAAAAGTATTGTGTTGCTAAGTAGCAGAGATGGTATCTACAAAATGTAATAGTGTTTTTTAAAATAGACTAGATTTTTTTTGTTAAGGAATGGATAGCTTTGGATTTAAAGGAAGATAAGTTGTAATATTTAGACACTGGAGAAGTGAAAAGCAGATCAAATACAAATTGTTTCAAGTGTGTAGCTAGTGTTGACCAGTGATTTCATCTGGTTTCCTAAAGTGCTGTCTGTTGACAGCATGGCTTAGCTTGGGTGGCTGCTTGAATAGTGACTCTTTTGGAATATGTGACCCTGGGTGCATTTGAGAAAACAAAGAATAACTCTGGTAGATTGGTTGAGTTGTGGCATTTACTGAATTCTGTGCATTCAAAGAATGATAGGGTTATAAGGGAATTGGGAGGTCTTCTAGTCCATCCATTTGCCCAGTGCATGGGCAAATGGTTGTCCAATATTTCTTGATCTTGACCTCCAGTGATGGAGCACCTACAGCTTCAGAAGGCAGGCTGTCCCACTGCTTAATAGCTTTTGCCATCAGAAAACTCTTCTTTGGTCAAGTTTGGATCTCCCGCTGTAAAGTGCTCCTTGTCTTACCCAGATGCTGGGGAGAATAAATATACTGTGTCTTCCCTGTGATATTCATTCATGTATTGGAAAACTGCTATCATGTCACCCCTTAGCTTACTCTTCTTTAAGCTAACCATAACAAACTCTTTAATCACCCAACGTAGAATTTAGCCTTCAAATCCCTTACCATATTTGTTCTTCTTCTCTGCACTCTTTCCAGTTCCTCAACATCCTTTCTATATTGTGTATATATTCTATATTCTATACTGCAGGCCACTTCAGCTGACTGCTATCTGCAGTTCAGCGGTTCAAATCTCAGCCTTGAGATTGACTCAGTCTTCCATCCTTCCGAGATGGGTGAAATGAGGACCCAGACTGTGGGGGCAATATGCTGATTCTGTTAAACTGCTATTGCTA